CAAGTCACCATGACTTACTTTCCTGTTTGCATCCAAGACGCTCTGTCCCTTCTTTGACCCAGGCATTGTTGAACTTGACCCAATTCCAAAAACGTTCCAGATATTGCTTGTTCAAAGAGGACTTGACCGGCACCAGGAAAGATGAACGGTGACTATCCAAACTTTCACCAACTGTCTGAATCCGCCAGAACCTGCTTCTACCGTCAGAAGCTGTCAGCCACGTCTCGTAAACCGTTAATGCCCAGCTCTTGCTACGCTCGGGCTCACGCTGTTCCTTGAAGTTTCTCAGAAACGCTAAGTAATAATGGACGCAAAAACCAAAACACCGATTGGCTACTCGAGAATTCTTTATTGTAACACCAACATATAAAAAATGTTTCCTCTAAGGTCTGTGAACAAATATTACAATAATAAATCACAATATTACTTCTGACGGTTTACTGCTGACTTCTTTCTGAACAGCGATCGATGAGACGATGACTGTCGTATTGATGCCTCCGCGAAAATTGGGGAAGTTGGTTTTGAGCAAACAACCATGAATTGATCGTTCAATCTTCAACTGCATTGACATATAGTTATATCTTAACTTCCACTAACAGTTTGACACAGTGGCTCTCAAGGATGTATCTGCTAAAACAGTCGCACGCATCTTTGTCGAATTAAGGATCACAAGTTTTGGGCGCCCATCCCTCATCCTTACTGATCGCAGGTGGCACGTTGAAAGCGACTTATTCCTCGCCGCGACTAAAATCCTTAGTTGCATGCGTTTTAAAACAACAACCTACCATCCCCAGGTTAGTAGTATGGTGGAACTTTTACACTGACATTTGAAGGCTTGGTTGTCAGCCACGAACAATGCACATTGGACTGATTCACTACCGTTAGTCCTCCTAGGCAAACGAAAACGCCCTGAGAACTGAAGTTGATTGTAATGCTGCTGAGCTACTATATAGCACAACACTCCGACTGGCAGGTGAGATCGTTTTTTCCTCTGGCTCACTGCCAGCTGTAGACCACGCCTCGTACGTCAGCAGGCTTGCAAACGCAATGCCTTCAGTTAAACCTGCTTCCCTTCAACCCGAGTCCATAGACGTCTTTGTTGACCTGTGTTTGAGAATTTCTTCGTATGCACCTTTTCGTCGTGTCCCTGTATGTCACCCTCAGGAACCAAATATAGTCAATAAACTTATGGATAAATGTTTCGTCCCAGACAAAATAGGCCGCAGAGACGCTGTTAGTATCAATCTTCTGAAACCAGCCTACTCCGAAGGCATTCCCGTGGGCCTCGGACTAAGCATTCCCAATGATACACAAGTAACTGAATGTCCGTGAACCCTCGAAGAAATCACTGGCATGGCGAAGGCAACCGAACCCTCCATAGAGACCTTGAAGAAAGCGCATCCCAAACCGACTGTGAGATTTTCAGAGCATCTTGACGCTCATCTCACCTAAAAGAACAGCGTGACTGACCCAGTTTGTCGCGCATGTGTTAAATTTTTTTCTCAGGCATATAAGTTTTTTCATTGCATTCCACAACATAAGTCGAAATTTTTACAACCGTACATGTTTTATCCTCAAGGAAAAATATCTATTTTTTCGATGCTGTGTTTTCTGGATCATTTTTCTGTATGGTAGATGTATACCATTATTCAGGCGTTCTTTTGGTACATTTTCCTCAACAAGTTTCTCAGTATTCTTGTTTCCTCTTCCAGGTGCGATGGGCACTAGATGAGAGGCAGAAGAAGCTCGAGATCTGACGGACAAACATCAACGAAGCAGTGTACTTGTACCCACTTGGCATAGGTAAACGACCAGTAGGCAATCCATCAAGCCAATTGGAAGAGTTTTAATGATGGTAAGACCGTCAGGATTTTACTTCCTGCTGGTTTCGCCGTACGGTCTTTACAACCCTCCCCTAGGCGGGGAGTGAGCTGTAGCGGTAGGCGATATCCCGGAGATATTAGCCACAACATTAAGCACTGAACACTGGATGCTGACCCTCACTATTTAAGTCGATCTGTTCAGCTGAAGGATTACAGTAAAGCATCCACGCCATTCGAAAAACCGTTCTGTTAGGTCCGTTCGTTCGTGCACGAATTTTCGCTAGTTAAGTAATCATCTCACCCTGCGATTTGGTCCCGAAATATTCGTTGTGATTTGAACGCTGAATTCTGGTGTTTTGCTTCGCCTTCGGTCTACGCGAAGCGAATACTGTAGAAGTTGTTGACATTAGATCTTGCGTTAGTATTGATCTTACTGTCTGTGAACGTCAACACCCTTAGCACCTGAAAATCTATTTGTGGAAGACATTTCAGTGAAGCCATCACACTCACTTATTTGGTTTGTGTTACCATAGTCCATACATTCTTCCCTTTTTACAGTACTTTGGATTCCTATTACAAGCGATTTCTCTTCACTCACTGCCTTCTCAGTTTCAGGATTAGAGTACAAAATGAGCTTGTTTAATATGCCCTTAAAACTATGCCAAACCCCTAAGGGAGAATACAAACCTTATGGATGCTCAAGGATGTATTTATTAACAACGGTGTGAAGAAAATAACAAAGATATACAGTCACACAGACTCCATTGTTTCATGAATACCCGACTGTCCTTACTCTGATGCCGTCATTGCAGATAAAAACAAAATGGACTTTTCAAATTCCTAACGCATTTTACTCCATAATTGCAAAGATCGAAGGCGCGTTATCAGATAAGTGGCTGCTGTAGAATACGTGATACTAATATCGGCATATGTGGCCCCGAATATACAAGTAATATTTGATCGTAAAATTCTCCTTTGTAGGGGAATGTCTAGCGAGTTCAATAACATAACAAGTATGTGAATAAAATTCCAAGTTAATGAGATGATAGTGTAACAGTATATTATAAAAAACTAGAGTAATGAGTTATATTAATTAAAGCGTTATTTGGATATACAGTTAAAGTCCACGGCTACAAATTATTAATATGATCCACAGAAGCGTTCACTGCTGGAGTCGTTTCTACTGGTAGAAGCTGTGTACCAGTTGTGGAATAGTCTTCGGATGAGGATAAAAGGTTCTAGCGAAAAACCCAAAGCATACAACACGGTTATGAGTGAAGTAATTGGATCGTATATACCAGTGAGAAGACGAAGCGACCAACAGTACACTGTAGTTTAAATTTTACCCGAAGGTTATCTATATATTCCAACAATAGTCGTTTTAAACAAGAGTCATGTACAATGTCACTAATATTAACATCTGACAAAACGTACAGTCACATTGTTACGCACTTCATACCTTTTCGATATACTAACATCTACCATTTTGGGACGTAAAGACTATGGGTGATAAGACAGTATAGAGTTTACCCTCAACTGTTCGTGTCGCAAGCATCGAGTTTTATAATATGTATCATAAGCAACTAGTGGGATGTGAAGTGATTAGTATCAATTATCAAATGTGAAATTTTTAGGTGTTTGATTATGTTATGATTATTTGTAGTGGTAGTAGTCATATTTAGCAATGATCGAATTATAGGGAATCAGCCAGCAACAGAGACAGGGATGAATTTAGGAATTTGTATTTGACGGAATTATTTTTCAATTCATATATAAATATATTAACGAGCAATAGTAAGTATTTAAACAATACAGTGATAGAAATTTCCAATCACCACATCCGTCACATGTCGAATGTCTCCTTGTGTATTTACAATGATGTCTCCGCTTGCTCGCAAGTTTCTGCGATCTTCTAACTGATTCTGTAATATTATTTTCACCACTTTCATCTGGACTTATTTCTGAATTATCTACAAAATCAGGATTAGTAGCGAAATCATTAAAATTATAATCGGAACGATCTCCTTCATTTATTATGAACTGAATGATCTTTGATGTCTAATATCTTCACCATTAGATTTCCTATTTTTCGTAGTGTGATTCCAACAGGTCTTTAGTCATTCCCTCTGTAATAATGTACATCAGAAGTCGTGAAAATCACGCGCATTTTTAAAATTCGAGATTTGAATAGTTAAGCAGTACTTTCATGGGTACTTATATGCTCCGCATTGTGATATTGAAGTAGAAGGTTATCTACGCATCTCTCTAGCTCATCAGAATTCTTAGCACTCATTGATGCTGTGGCACTCTTTAATGTTCGAACAAAATTTTCTGCCAACTCGTTAGACCGAGGATGACGTGGTGTTGTGTACAGATGAAGACAACCTATATGCTCAAGCCAATCATTGAAGTTCTTCTCAGTGAAATGAGTACCATTATCAGTAACTAAGACATCTGGAATTCCTTCTCGACTAAAAATCTTTCTCAACTCTCTGTGAGTGAATTTTGCGTTAGGACTATCTGTATTGATAACTTCTGGCCATCTAGAACAAGAATCCACAATAATTTAAGAATGAACCACTGTAATCTGCATGAATACACTACCAAACGTCACAAGACGCAGGTCACGGTTTCCACAGTGACTTTCCATAGGACATTTTATGCAAACAGCTGAAACAGCTCTTCGTGACACTACTCATATCAGTCAGTAGTATATTAGCATCCTTATAAATGAAATCGTATTCTACGGATCTGCAGTCATGCTATCTGGTTATATTTTTTGCTAAAAATCATGAATAAATTAACAATTAACAGTCTCTTTTTTATTATCTTGTTGACATTGAATACTATTGGTCAGCCTGTTGACTTCAATTTGTTTGCCTTGTTTGTGACCATCGCCTACTCATGTGACTGACTATATAAGAATGCAATGATATCTAACAATAAGAAGATGGATAAGGTGACTATTATTCAGAAATGTTATTCGTAACCAATTTTTATTATTCACACTTATTCAACTTGAACCAATACGATTATGCAAATAAGCCAAATAAGTCAGTCACAAAAAAGTGATTTTTATCGATCAGGAATGGCAAAAACAAACAAAACAACAACTGCCATCACCTAATCACTTAGATTCACATCATCAGTACTGTCTTGGTACACTTAACTATAAGGATGACATCTTCCTCATCTATGACACTGTTCTCGTTAAGTTATTTAGGCAATTCTATTATCCAAAAGTCGAACGATTGTGAGCTGGAGACAATATACGAGCTACTTATGGATTATTATCTGAAATTTTTACAAAATGTATCCATTTGTAAACCAACCTCATCGAATAATTCGACTTCAGTATTTTATAAGACGACACTGCTGGAATTTTATGATACTGTGATACTAGCCATTGGTAATGGTCATATACTTATCAAATCGTTGGATTATAAGGAAGGTAACCGGAAGGAGGAGAAGTCGAAGAAACTCATAGAATCTCAACAAATCGACGAAAAGTTTTCTGCTTCTGAATTAACTTATTTTAATTGTTATTATTTTGAAGTTGTAACACCTGTTGGAAGTTCTACTAGCAGTTGTAGTAATACTACTAATTGTAATAATGTAAGTAGTAAAAACAAAAAACATGATAATTGTTATGCTTATTTTCGTCGTATCATCGATACAAGACGTTGTATACCTGAGGATGCATTAATCCGATTAGACAGTAACATTACAAACTGGTTATTACGTAATCGTACAGTAGTACGTCCACCGTTAATCTATTTTATGATTCCAAAATTAACAGCAAATGGTGTAAATTGTTTAGCTTGTTATGTCTTTCTGGCAGAAAGTATACAAATTGGTTTGAAAGTTCTACGTTGTTTTTCAGAATTACGCAAAGCATATCCTGAGACAAAACGTTTACCAACGAACAGATTATGCAAATGCAGTAGCAGTAATAATAGTAATAGTAGCAATAATAATAATAATCATATTAATCCGTTTCAAAATGAAAAACGACACTATCAGCCGAAAAACACTGCTGATAGACAAGATGCAAACCAGTGTAATTTTCATATGAAATATATGAATAATGCAAGGCATCATTGTGAATGTTGTCAACGAAACATGGAATATTCAGAATCTCCGGTGTTATCACCAAGAGCGACAAAATCACATATTGACTTACTACATCGTTTAAACTGTCCGTCTACATCAGAAACGCTGCTGAATGCTACATGTCCACAGTGTAATTTGAAATGTTGTCCAGCGCATTCTAGTCTGTGTGAATTACATCGATCAAAGTTGATTCAAATGAAACTTGGTAGTGAAGCAATGGATTATTATTATAGTCATAATCCACAATATCAAACAAAACGCGCAATGAATTGTGATAGTGTATTGAAGTCAAATATAAGCAGAAGAGATCGTTCAGTTCCAGCAAGATTAGAGAATAAAATGAATCATTTACGTATTGATCAATGTAATAAATTATGTCCACTTTGTCAGAATTCTATAAAAAATGATAGAGAAATGAATGAACACTTCAGCAGGACACGTTATCCGAATAAAATGAATAATGAACGTACACAATCAAGTGGTAGATATCGTCAGTCGGGTTCACCATCACATTATATTAGTACAAAATTTAGAGATAACACAAGCAGTTGCTGTCATGCACACTTGGGTGGATCTTTGGAATTACTTCCTTGATGAAAAACACAAAACAAACAAAACAACCGACATCTGATAGTTAATCTTCAAGGTATTTTGTACTTGAATTTAAGAGAACCTAAAACTGGACAGAAGTGTATTTATTTTTAATCACTATTATTTAGTTAAAGATTTGTATACATGTCTTAATGTTTCGCTATATTGCAATTGTTGTTATTCGATTTGGTTCCTGTGAGAACATACAGCTTCAGAAGAACATCTCCGTTTTATCCTGTCCTCTAAAGTACTCTTTAGATTGCCCCTAGACTGCCCATAGGCTGGTTTCTCCTTCTCATACGATCTCCATTTCACTCTTGGACGCGCAGCTCGTCATCTCTCACACAGTTCCACGCAAACAACAAGAACATTGCCGTTTTATTCTGTCCTCTTTAGGTTTCTCGAAGACTGTCCATAGTCTCTTGTCTCCTTCTCATACGATCTCCTCCATATCGACCTAGGATGTGCAGCTGGTCATCTTGCACTCAAACAATAGCCGGGGGGTGATAAGTCACTCAGGGTCTATCCGACCCGTCTCCAATTTCTTCTGTATCTTTGCTGGGTAACAGGTTCTTGATTGGTTCGTCCCCAAAGGTTCTTGTATTTAATTCTTTCTGGTTGGCCATCTGATCCTTAGTATGGAGCTAGTAAATAAAAGCTGCTGATGAAAGTCTTCAGTAACCTGATGGAAAAGTTTTGCGTAACTTAACACTGATGTTCTTTATGATGACTGAGTGTGATGGGTTTCCAAACTCACTTCAGACTGATGAAGGTTTATCTTGTCTTTCCGATGCTAGTTTTGAAATCGTCATCCGAGGAGTTGGCTGTAAATAACACTATGGTAACTAGATAGTTGAAAGAAGCAATCTCTTTCAAATTTCTTCCGTTAACACTGATTAGTGTTTCTTGTTGTTGGTTGGTTAGCTTCATCACCTGCATCTTCTCTATGTTCACTTGGGGACCTGTCTTCGCTGCTTCTTCAGCAAGTTTGTTGATTCTCGCCTGTAAGTCTTCAAGTTTATGTGACACTAGACATACAGCATCTGAAAAATCCAAATATTCTGGAGTCTTCTCATCGGTGGTCTAGCGTACTCCTGTCTCCTCACCCTCCAAAATCTGGCACACTATCCAGTCCACTACAATTAAAAGTATCATCTGTAATGGTAGGCTGCTTGTTTTGCTATGGTTCTACTTAATTTTGGTAATTATTTTTAGTAGGTCTTGGTGAGGAGCTTCTAAACTGTTCGAAATTAAACCACTGAATTCATCTGCATTCCAGTAATTGTTGGTATTCCCAGGAAGACTGGAATTCAAATCCTACTGTTTCAAGTTAAAGTCATTATTTAGCTAGTTAGTGGATTGGGACAGCAGTATCTCATTTAGAAATTCTAGACTTACTTGTTAAAAGTATCTACAGATAGCCTTTAAGGGGGATTTTATTTGTGTATATTAAATTTATATTATGCCTAGTGTTGCCATCGTCTCAGGTATAATGTGTATAAGGCGTACTATGATATCAGTCCTTCAAAGTTGACAGCTTCAGAAATTTCATGAACTGGTTATCTGTTTGCCTTGCCCCAAGAAATTACATAATGGCCGATTAGACTTTTGAAATAAATAATGTTCGGCCTAGGCTGTAGAAGATGGGTCAGCGGTTTGCTGCGTATCTGATGAATTATTCGTATGAGATTCAGATAAGATATTTATTCAGACATTTGATATTTTTCTTGTACAAACTATTAGGTATTTATTCTTTTCAAAAAGACTGTTATTAGCTATATTTCAGGATATCTACATAGGTAGAAGTGGTTTGAGACTGTTTCATTTAATGATTTCAGTAAAATTTTAGTTCCCAGTCTCAACAAAAAGAAGAAATTAGTCTTTCGTTCAGTGTGAAATGCGTCGGTGGGGAATTTCAAATATAAGTCGACGAATTCTGATAATTAGATAAAGAGAGTAAAACTATAAAAGTGAACTTAGTTTGGACATATATAAAGAGGGTAAAGTATTTCCAATCTGGACTATATTCTGTTTTGGTCAGATAGAGACGTTGGAGAATGTTTTTTTATAATGTAAACAAACCATCAAGATTTTCTCAAACGACTCCTTTTGTTTGTCATGGGTCGGCAGTAGTATACATGGCCTGTGGGACGAGGTAGTGATTGATCATTTTTTGTCTTCAATTCAATAATAACTGTAACTGTGCTTGTAATACTTTTATGGAATCAAGTTGTAGTTATTTTCAACCTGCAGACATAGTCTTAGAATTCCTGAACTTATCTCTCATGAAAAGAACTTTCAGTCAATTCACCCAAATGGGTCTTTTCTAGTTTTGGAGATATTAGTGGTTGTATGCTAATCTATTCCAATGTCGTGTTATGGAACATTTAAGAATCAATACATTAAAATTTAAACGAAACTGATTAACTACTTTATTACTTCACAGTAGTAAATTCAATATACAGTAGGAAACATCAGTGTTTTAATGGGGGAATGATTTAGCATCTTATTTTACAAGAGAGAAATAAAATTAATTAAATTGATTCGGTACAAAATCAAAACTGATAGACGAGTCTCTGTAATTACTGCCTACCTACACGTTCGACAGGAATTATCTGTAAAATGTACAGCTATGATTTCAGATGATAAATATCAGCCCTATTAGAACTATAACGGAACAGTTTGAGTTAAGTGGGATTTTGCACTCCATGAGTTGGATTGCTTAGGTTAGGGACGCTCAGCTTCATTTTTACAAATGTCAGAAGTGTGAACATGAGGGAAATGTAATCACGTATCCCCGGCGACTCTTTAAACCAGTACCAATGAGATGAACGGAAACAATGCAGTGAATAAAAACTCCTGTATGGAATGTCGCACATTTTACTTCAGTTAACTCGCGAAATTACTGACAAGCGACTTTCATATTATTATATTATCATTATTCCCTTAAGTTCCCAGTGGAACATAAAGGCATGATAGAACATTATTATTTAATTTCATTTATTTTTAATTGTCCTCAATACTGTCTCTAAGCTTTCATTTCCCCCGTGTCTCTCTTGGATGCTCTGCTTGAGACCCTTGCACTTCATGCCATTCAGTGGTCTTCTTACGCGCACTAATGCTGATTTCAGAATGGTGAAGGTGTGCCTTGCTTTTACGGTGCTAGCCTTGGCGTCCTCGTCCGTGTTGCCCGCAGTTAAAATGGTACTATCTAGGTAAGTGAAACAGGTAACTTCCTTGAGACGCTTGCCATTGTCAGCCATGTGATATAAAATCGATTGAAGGCGTAGATACATATATTTTTTTAGCTTCAAAAAACACTTTTATCAATTTTCTTTTATTTGTTCTTTCCTGTCAATCCTGCTTGGTTTATTTAGTCGGTGGTTTGATTTTCGTTGGCGATTTCTCTTTGTGCATAGAAGGGAGTTGCAATATGAGTGGAGATACTTACACTGATGTTCGCATCCTTCTTCCTATCCGTCCTTTCTGGACTGTTTGTTTAAGAATATTTTGGAGGTACTTATTCATCACTAATGGCATTTGCCACAGCTAATTCAGTTAGTTACTCGACAGTTTCGAACTGTCTTATCAGTATGAATAGTGAAATTTTGATCACTGACTATGTGCCAGAAGTTTGGCGAAAAAATAATGGGGATCAAACAAACACACTTAACCAAATATTTATCGACTAACTACCAAAAATGTACAGCTTAATTCAATTTTTTGACGTTAATCGCGAGAAAAAAACATTTTAGGACGGTTTGAGCGCTTTGGGCTTCCAGAAATATTCATTAATTAAAAGAAACTCACAAGTTGTTTATAATCAAGCTGTCTCAAATATATGATAATCCAATGTACTATAAGTCCAAAAATATAAAAGTATCTGTTCTTTTGCACTACTTTGCGTTTCGATTGGAACATATGGTACCAAGCTTTTAGGAATTCACTAGCAGTGGTCTCGCATCTTTTTCGGGATGTGAATTGTTAGTCTTGCGCTTAACCTTCCTTCTTTTCTGCCCTCACTATCCCCTGCTTAGAAAGATCAGGTTTAGCAGTGCATCTTCTACAAATTGAATCTGTACCAAAAACGTGGCCGGCGCGAATTCTAGAGCTGAATTAATCGCATAAAATGCCTACCATATAAGGTGAAGGTAGAAGATTGATGAGACGTTAGTGACTCTTGTGAATTTGAAGTCATCGCTAAAATGTGACCAGTCAGTAAGATCATTAGGAATTATATTTTAAAGCAGACATGGATATATACTTGTTTTAAGAGCATGCAGTTATTCATTACAAAATAAATTATCCTGCGTTTGATAAGCGTTTCATGGATGATGAATGCAGTGGTAAGCACGAGGCTTTCTTCCTATCTGAAGCTCATTAGGTCGATGATGCAAAGAGGTTTTAGCGTTCCTAATAATCTTGTAACTTGGTACATAGGTGATCATAATGTGTAGTCTTAATGATAAGTTTAAAGCTTTTCATATATCCAAATTCATTGATGAACCAGTAACCCACCACAAGTCCGTGGCTAGCTGTCTAAAGTTTAGTGCGTTTTCCCTTTCAAATTGATTTATCTGGTTACTGAGTCAAAATCAGCCTGTTTACATAAGGCTTGGATAAACTTGATAAACTTTTCATATCTAATATCATTACGGATTCTGATGAATTCAGCTGGGAATCTAATGAAAACAACGGCTCGGTTTATGTCACCTCTTCAAAGAGAATCATCTACTGCATTCGCGTCACCTTTGATGTACTGTATGTTGGTTGAAAATTGGGAAATATAGGCCAACTGTTTAGCTTCTGTGGGAGAGTGTTTATCCAGTGACCTAGCCAAAGCATAACAAAAAAGGACTTGGGGTCGGTAAAAATAGTGAATTGTTGACCCTGTAGTAAGTAACTAAATTGCTTGACCGCTATATAGATAGCCAACAATTCTCTCCCAAAAGTACTGTAACGTATCTGAATCGGTTTCATCTTCTCAGAAAAGAAAGTAAGTG